GCCTCCCTTATATATAAATTTTTTGAAAATAAAATTAAAAGCCAAGTTGCCAGGTCATTTTTCAAATTTTATATTATAAGAACCAAAAAATTAACTTTGTATAGCCTAATATTTCTCATATATTCAACTTTGGTAAAATATATTTTTTATTAATCAACTATATATTACAACTATTTATAAACCAATACTCTTAAGAACTACCTAAATATAATTTCATTCACCCTACCAAATAAATCAAAAATAAAATTTTAATCATAATAAACTTTTCAATTGCAATAGATTTAAATACCCAATAGCTCGCAAATCAAAGCTACTTAAAAATGCTCTAATTTTTGTTATAATAATACCCAGCATTATACAGTCAAACTCTTTAAATGCATAGTTTATAAAAAATATATAGCATTGTTTGGCTCCAACTCATAATACTTCTGTACTTATAGATTTTTACTTCTTTAAATATAGAATTTTTGATTTTTTCATCTAGGCCTCTTAGCTATACATTTCTGATTGTAAGTTCTACTAGCGTGCTCTATCATTGCTAATTTTTAATAAACAATTGCTTCTATATTCAGTTTAATATCAATTCAATCTCTAACATTATATATTTCATCAATATACTCTATTTCTGCAACTTTTTGGTAATAAATCAATATCTTATTTATGTTTATTCTTTTTAACTCTAATTTCTTCATCATAATATCATCTAATATTATATATTTTGTAACGTGTTATATCTTTGCCGATTTTTAATAATAAGTAATTGCTTTATATTCATTCTTTTCAACTTAAATTCATTTTTCATAACAATATCCAATATTATATGTTCATTAGCATGCTCTATTTATATAATTATTGGTAATAAACCAATACTTATGCTTATCCTTTTTAGCTTTAACCCCTTAATTATAATATTATTTAATATTATATACCACTAGCGTGTCTCATTTCTGCTAATGTTTGATAATAAGCAATTGTTTTGTGTTTACTCTTTTCAACTCTAATTCTGACAATATCTAGTATTATTGTTCTACTGATGTGTCCTATCTCTACTAGTTTTTGATAATAAGCAATTGCTTTGTGTTTATCCTTTTCTAATATTATATATTTCATTAGTGTACACACTTTTGCAGTTTTTGATAGTAATAAATGAATACCTTATAATATTTACAATCAACTCTTTCCGCTGATTCTCTGAATACAAATTCATTATAAACAAAAAATTAACAAAACACCTATTTTGCTAAAGAAAATATAGTTCGCAGTACTAAGTAAAAAGAAAGAATACACAAAATAATACCTAGTTTTTTAGAAGACGAAGGTAAAAATGTTAAAGCTTTGGATGAAAAAAAGAAAAACAGCAAGGAACCAACAAAATTTCACCTTTTGCAAGCAATTTTTGGGAAATTGCACTTAATCTTATACTGCAGATCTGTTGTTTTTACACAAATAGAATATGTATTAAAAAGTAAACAAAATAATCTAATTATAGATTATGTGTTAGATATAAACAGAGAAATAGCATCTAAGAACTTAGGTACTGAAGAAAAAGAAGATTCTAGAAAACAAAACAAAACTATAGAGATATTGGATGAATCAATAGAAGTTTATGTAGAAGAATTGAAACTTTATAATAATTGGATAGTTGATCTTAGAAAGATAAAGAAGAGCAACAAGCACTTCAAAGAAGAGATATAGAAGAAAGTTTAATTCAACAACTTGGACAAGAAAATTTATCCTTTCTAATACAAAATAATAGAAAAGAAGATAAGGAGAATATAAAAATTTCGACAAATACAGAGGTATTTAGTATGCAGATAGAAGATTACATAGAGAAATTAGAACAAAATAAAGTAAAGATCCAAGCTCATAGACAAGAAAATTTAAAACAGAGATCGCAACAAAGAAAGAAAAGAATAGAAGATTCTTTTCAACAAATCAAAGAATTATATATACATATTGTAGAACTAAACCAAGAGGAGAAGAGAAATATCGAAATGATAATCTCTAAAGAAGAAAAGAAAAGAGGATATAATAAGGATAAAATGAAAAATCTTATAAACAAGGAAAAAGCTTTATTTAACAATTATTTAAAAGAATATCTGAAGAAATTATATCGATACAAGAAGTGAATTACAGGTCTTAGAGAAAAAGAATGAAACAAAAGAAACTTCAAAGAAGAGAAAGAAGAGAAAACCTTGAGCATCTTTATAAAGAATTAACAAGAAGTTATCTTCAACTACAAGATATATTGAAGAAAAGAAGTATAGATAATAAAGAGAAAGATGCTAACCAAATGGTAGACAGTTTGAAGATATCATAAAAGAAACTTCTAGAGAAGATTTTAGTGAGTTCAGAAGAATTCCTAATCTAAGCAAGAAGAAGTAAGAAGACTAGAACAAACTAGAAAAGCAGAAAGAAAAAATAAAGAAGAAAACTCTACTAGGGGAGTAGCACTTATTATATAATATCAAGGGGGAGAAGGGTCAGAGAAATCTTACGTAGTATATAATTAGTGTTGTCAGCAATAGATAAATAGAACAATAGAACAATAGAATAGAGCAATAGAATTTAGATTAGAATAAAATTTTTATCAATAGAATAAAAAATTGACAACTAGATCATAATTAATATTAATATAGTAAAAAATATATAATAATAGAACAATAGAATAGAACAATAGAATTTAGAATAGAATATAGTTTTTATCAATAGAACAAAAAATTAATAACACTAGTATTTCTATAAACTTATCAAAGCATGTTGTATCTAAGATTAATTAGTGAATATCACAAGTAAAACAATAAACCTTTTTTACAGATATTCTTTCAAAGATCTTTGGTGTGATATGCAACTTTTACAAATATTTTCTATAGGTTTATCAACACCAGACTGTGTAATAGAGAATAATGACATGTTTTAAAAAATGCTTATAACTCAAAATTTTGCTTATAAAACTACCTTTTGTGCTCTAACAAAAAAAAATCATTACAAAATTTTAAGGTAAAGACAGTCTTTGATACTCCTCTATCTTTAACACTAATCCTTATTCTAAATTATTATGTTTCAATTAGTTTGGATCTCATATTACATATCTTATATAACACATAATAAATTTCTATTTAGAATATCACAATAAAGTTGCATATTATACTAGAAGTTTTGTAAAATTTTGTATATAAAAATTTTTTAGAAAACTGCAAAAAAAGGTAATATCTAATAAAGATTTTCTATTATAATAGATTTAGCAAATTTTTATAGTTCTACTTGTGTGTAATATATAGTACTGGTCTTGATTTTGATGGTGAAAAAAGTACTCTTGTAATTAAGATCATATGTAGTAGTTTTATTAAATTTTAGACTATTCAAATTGAGATAGCTGAAGCCTCAGCTTTTATAATTCAAATTGTTTAATAGATTTACTAAGTGTTAGTTTAGGTAGGTTTTCTCAAGTTTATTAGGTTACAAGTTATATAGTATATTCGCTTATATGCAATTGTAAATTTTTAATATACTTTATGTAAATATTATTTATTTATGTTTTAAAATAATAATATCCTAAACATTTTACATAAAAATTTTTAAAGAATTTAATATAATATCTATAATATTGTTCTTGGTTCATATTATATCTTAGTTTATTTATTTATAATTTCAATTCTATAACAATATTCAAGTTGTTTGTTTTACTAGTATTCCATCATTGTATAATAAATGAAAGCCTTATGTTCGCATTTTTTAATACTAGTTTCATGTCAATAGCAATATCTAGTATTTAATTTTTTTTTTTTTTTCTAAAAAATATATGATAATAAAGACATGGTATTATTTTAATAGCAAAGATTCTTTCACTAAAATAAATACCATGTTCTTTATCTTTTTTAGTCCTTTTCAATTCATGCAACTTCCTTGTTTCGTATCCTATCTTTTTATCCAAGCCACCTGTATTATCAATTCATTAGCACCAGTTTTTTATAAACTACAAATTTCCTAGCTTAATGTGAAAACAAATACATAAAAAGTTGTGTATGAAAGAACTTTACCAGTTTTTTAAAATTCTTTCTGAATTATTTCAGCGACCATTAAATGTGACTCTTTTTTTCTCTCTTCTAGTTCTAGCAATTTCTTTGTATCTTCTAATTTTTGCATCCTTTTTTTTTCTAGTATTGCTTTTCTATATGCTTTAGAAAGCATTAAAATTAACTTTTTAAATAATTTACAATTTACACTATTGTTTAAATTATAGTACATACTTTGGAATGAATACAGGTTTTAATAGTTTTCTTAATGCTTGTTTTTTTGAATTAGTCACATATTCTGATGTTTCTTTTTTCTGTATATTATGAAGCGTTAGAATAGAATACATTTAATGAAATGAATAAGTATATGTAACTAATTCATAACAAATAATGATAACATACCTCCTCTTCTAGCCATAGTTTTTTTGATTCTTTTAGGGGCCGCCAGAAATCAGCTGATTTCTTAGGGGGGGGTTCACGGTCCAGTCAGGTTATATATAATACTTGTTCTCTGATTGGTTGGTGCTAA